GGCTGAGCTGCCCTGGCCGCTGTGCCCAGGTGCTGGTGACGGGCAGCCGGGCGCTGCTGCTGCGCCGCTGGCACTGGAGGGAGCCCAGCTGTGAGCGCACCTGGCGAGCCGTGCACACCGCGCCCGTGGCCACCATGGCCTTCGACCCCACGGCCACGCTGCTGGCCACAGGTAGGAGCCAGCTGTGTCCCAGAGGGGCTTTCCTGGAGCTCCTGGAGCCTCTCCCGGGGCAGGGCCAGCAGAGCCCAGAGCCGTGTCCGCTCTGGGGATCTGCTGGGGGTCCCACGGCTCTCTCCTCCAGAGCTCACTCCCTGGTGTTCTTCTCTTCCCAGGTGGCTGTGACAGCACCATTAAAATCTGGGATATGACCAAACACTACTGCACACACAACCTGAAAGGATCCTCTGGAGTGGTACAGTAAGGACCAGTCCTGTTGGTCAGTGCTGGGATACTGGGATTGAGGGGCAAGTCTCGAGTTAATGCAACGGGAAGATCCATTCCAGGCAGGGTCTGGGCTCCTCCTGGCTCCTGAGAGCAGGGGTATGGCTGATTCTGCCCAGAGAGGAAACTTGGGTCAAGAATTTTCATGGAATCACAGAATTGTTTGGCAGGGACACTTCCCATTAGCCCAGGATGCTCTGAGCCCACCCAAGCCGTCCTGCTGTGGGCTGTGCATTATTTAAGGGTTGGGTGGTTTGTTCCTGCTGTGGGCTGTGCATTATCTAAAGGTTGGGTGGTTTATTCCTGCTGTGGGGTGTGCATTATTTAAGGGTTGGGTGGTTTATTCCTGCTGTGGGGTGTGCATTATTTAAGGGTTGGGTGGTTTATTCCTGCTGTGGGGTGTGCATTATTTAAAAGTGGGGCTTTATTCCTGTGCTGTCCCTCTGCTCCTGCCCAGCCTGGTGGAGTTCCACCCCGACCTGTCCCGCCTGCAGCTCTTCTCCTCCTGCATCGATTACAAGATCCGCATCTGGGACCTGAGCTCCAGCAAGTGCCTGGCAGTGCTGGAGGGACACTTCAGTGCTGTCACCTCGCTGGCCTTTGCAGATGGCAACAGCCTCCTCAGGTACCTCCTGGCAGGGCCTGGACCTCCATCCCTTCACCTCCTGCAGCTCTGGGGGATCCTGGAGGGTCTGGGGTGGTGCAGGTGCTCAGTGGGTGTCAGCACCCGTGCATTGGAATCATGGAATGGTTTGGGTTGGAAGGGAGCTCAAAGCCCACCCAGTGCCACCCCTGCCATGGGCAGGGACAGCTCCCACTGTGCCAGGGTGCTCCAAGCCCTGCCCAACCCGCCTGTGTTCCTGGGAATACCCTGTGCTGGCACGGGGATTGCTGCTGCTCTCTCTCCCTTGGCCTTTCCAGAGAGGTTCTGAGGTCCCACAGTACCAAATTTGCACCAGACCCAAGCTGAACAGGTTTAGCACTAAAACTGAGCTTTTCATCTGCAGCTCTGGCCGTGACAAGATCTGCATGGTCTGGGACCTGGAGACCAGGCAGAGCAAACGAACCATCCCTGTCTATGAGGTAAAAGTGCTTTTTGTTTCTTCCTTTGAGGCCCACTGTGGTTTCTAGGCCATGGTCTCCCTCTTTAGGGTCTGTAGGTTGTGCAGTCAGGTTTCTCCCCCTTCCCAGGGGTTTTCAGCCCTGGGTCTGTGCCTCTCTGACTCTTGCAGACCGTGGAAGCCGCTGTGCTGCTGCCTGAAAAGGGAGATTTCTCTCAGCTGGGTGTGAAGAAACAAGGGCTGCACTTTGTCACAGCTGGCAGCAAAGGTGAGTGCCACTTTTGGAGCCTGAAGGGTGGCACTTCAGTCCCTTCACTGCTGTTATTCCCAAGCTGTGTGTTCTCCATGTGGCAGGGGCCTTGGGTGGAGAGCAGAGCCTGCTCCCAAGTTCCTTGGGCAGGAGTGGATGAGCAGGATGGAACAGGCAATACTCAAACACATTTATTTCTATTTCCAAACTCAAATGAGTTTGATTTGCACCAAAGAAACAAAACCTTGAGGCTTTTCCAGCCACTGCATCCTGCCCAGACATGCCTTGGAGCTGTGTGCCTTTTCCCACTGTGGTTTGGATGGTGTTCCCTGGACATCTCCTGTGAAAAGCAGTGGCTGTGCCACGGTTTCTCCTGTTTTGCCAGGCATGCTGAGGGTGTGGGACGTGGCCACGGCCGCCTGTGTGCACAGCCAGGCCGTGCCCTTCGTGCTGCAGGAGGAGCCCAGCGAGCACAGCCTCTCCCAGTGCCAGCTGGTGCCCGCCAGGAACGAGATCCTCACCGTGTCCATGGAGCACAACATCGTCTTCTACGATGCCCACAGCCTCCAGCTGAGGAAGCAGGTGACAGCCTCAGCCTCCCTGTCCCTTTGGCCGTGCTCCTTGGCTCCAGCCTGTTCTGGAATTGTTCCATGGGGCCAGAGAATTCCACTGGTCTGGGGGAATGTAGCCCAGAGACCAACAAAGGAACGAGAAAGCAGAACAGCCTTAGCCAGAAATGCCTCCTGTGTGTAATTGCACCCAGTAGAGATGAAAAGCAGTCACTCCCACCTTCCCTCTTGGGCTGTTCCCCTTGCAGCTCACAGGATACAACGAGGAGGTGCTGGATGTGAAGTTCCTGGGCCCTGGTGACTCTCACATCGTTGTGGCCACCAACAGCCCCCAGCTGAAGGTGTTTGAGCTGGCAACGTCCCACTGCCAGATCCTGTACGGGCACACAGGTGGGTGACAGCGCTGGCCTGGGGGCACTGGGCAGCTCTTCCTTTATCCAGCTTCTCCTGGGACTCTGGAGAGGAGTCCCTGAGTTCTTGGTGGAGCAGCATCACAGCAGGTTTGGGAGCTGTGTGGAGAGAGGATGTGTCCCCCTGTCCCTGAGGTCAGTTTGAAGTGGAGCTGAAGGTGCAGGTGTGTGACAGGCTCAGTCCTTAGGGACCAGTTGTGTCCCAGACCTCTCCCCTGGCTCATTAACTGGGTTCATTAACTGGGCTCATTAACTCACTTCTTTCTGTTGTCCCATCTCAGCATTGCTCTGCACCCACCAGCTTTTATTTCTTCTGTTTAGAAACAATCCTGGCTTTGGATGTCTTCAGGAAAGGCCTGATGTTTGTCACCTGTGCCAAGGTGTGT